ATTACCGACTGTCGAATTTGATAGATATGGTAATAGATACCTAATGTACTGTCGATAATTGGCAACTATGGTCGATAATTGACTATTCTAATCGATGGATATAAGATTGTCGCGATGATGCCGGTAGAAAGAAAAAAAGTTTTCCCCAGGGACGTTACAAAAGCACCCGCTCACACGGCACTATCTGTCAAGCAGTTTCTGACCAGCAAAATTATTATTGTGATAGGGAATCCTCCTTATTCGCCTGATTTGGCTTCATGCGACTTTTTTTTATTTCCTAAAGTTAAATTTTGCTTAAAGGGAACCCATTTCACCTCAGTTGAAGAGGTTCAGGCAAAAACGGAGAATCGTCCGAAAGGACTTCCAAAAACCTCGTTCCAGAATTGTTACCAGCAATAGCAGCGCCGAATGCATAAGTGTGTGAATGCTGAAGGGGACTACTTTGAAGGTGATAATGTCACGGAGAACTGATTCTGCAGGTAGAATGATTTATTGGACTAGTCTCGTTACTTTTGTGTCACACCTCGTATAACATATCCTCTTCGGCACAACACGCTGCTATAATGGTTTTTGCGATTCTCTCTTTGTACAATGATCCACTTTCGCGAATGTCATCGTAGATTAAATAGCACCACTATAGTGGCTTACTTTACTAACTCACTCCCTTACTGTTTCAATTGAATGATCTTTTTCATATGTTTTGATTCGTACTTTTTTTGCCTTCACCACTTTTTATAAGAGTATTAATAAAAGCCACAAAAGTACTGTTGAGGGGTTATGTGAAATAAAATACACGCGTAGAGTATATCAGAGTTATAATTATATTTATAAAGAAAAATTAAACGGTGAAGGAACTACTGAAGAATTCGGTGCTTACAAGATGGGCGCACAGTTAGAATTAAAAAAGAATTGCTGCTACAGTACATGCTGCTACTCGCAGGTCTCAAACCCTAATTAAACAATAACTGTAAAGGATGTGGGGTTTTCCAGAAAACGGTAAAAGCATGGTCAATGCTTTAACTTGAACAAGTAAATTACATGTCAATAAAAGGTATCGGCATTTAGTTTAGGCACTATGGACAGAGCGTCTCTTTGCACTAATGCACGATATTGGATACATTTGGAAATTACATATTTTGTGAATTTTCTAAAAAAGTAAATTATCAAAATTAAAGTATATGTATCATATATTTAGGAAAAATTATTATTTAATCATCAAAAACTTCATTCTAATGTATTTGTGTAGAGAACAACATTGTCACACATTGTAGTGCCGTTTACGCGTAATTTGCGTTGTACTTTGCCGTACAGAGAAGCAGCGCTTCTAAAGTTTAGCCCTGCCTAAAAGCGTAATATGCTGCTCAATATTATTTTGTATCTGCCGCCGTGACGTCGCCATCGACATCAAGCGCCGTATGTCGCAAGGAGGCTGCCGCTACCCCGCCGTTAGTTCAGAATGAGTCAGAGAAGGTTCTGCGAAGACAAATCACGAGAAGGAGATTTCGGATAAGAGTGGGGACAATCACGGGGTGTCTGTGTTTCTGCATTAGGGCACACGCTTCCTTATTTCGTAATTGACACTTGCCCAAAGTAACACGCGTAGAAAGATCAGTTAAGATACCGCAATAACAAAGACGTTCTTACAGGGAGACCAGGAAATCTCGGTGAGCCCACTATTATTTTGTAACATCACGAACACGGTACTTCTGTGTCGGACAACCAGGCCACGGGTTGTCAAGTACCAATCAGATATCCATCGATTAAAGTTGCTACGATCTTAGGTAGCACCAACCATTTGTATCGCACTTATATACGTTTAAGTATCGTCAAGTTGCGTCAAGTTAAACCAGAGGACACCTGTCCGGCGGACGAACCGGTGCCAGGGTGGCACAAGTCGAATCTCCCACCTCCACGTGGTGTCTGCTGGGACGGAGGATCTGTGCCCTTCGGTAGTACTCCGGTGCTACCCAAGGGTGGGAACCTCCGTGCTGACGGGAGAACGGCGACCTAAGGGGGCACAGGTCCTGGATGGACCTCTGTCACGGGTGAGCGGACCCGGGGACCCAAGCTTTGACTCGCACCGTAAGCCTGTGGTCATGTTTCGCAGGAACGGGGGGCTTGCCTTAACCGGCTGGCCTGCGAGGAGTAAACCTCTATAAAAAATCTGCTGTATGGCCTCGGGACGGAATTTGGCCACGGTATCCCCTGCCTGAGGTATGAGTCCTCTAAAAGGGGTGCTCCCGTTGTTTCAAAGTAGGCCCTGTGAAGCGTGAGGTGATGCCGGCGAGGTCTTCGGACCCTGGTAGGGCCTCCCAAGCCGGTAAGGCTCACGCCGTGGGATGAAATCGGGGG